TGAACACAGTACATTGAATACAGTACATTAAGATAAGACATGGATCAGTTGTCTATGTTGGGAGACTTTGAGAAAGGTAGTGTGGTAAATATTACTGTGGCAGGTTCTAAGAGTATTCTGCTAAATGTAAATTGTTCCAAGTAAGGTGGTTTCCCTGGTCTAACATTCCCTGGTCTAGCAAAATTATGATAATTTAGTAGGGATTCCAACATTTTAGAGAAACTGTAAAGCATATTGATTATACAGTATTGTAGCATTATTGTGGCATTATTCACTGTGCATGCTTTATGTTTTTAGCTGTATCTGGAACAATCTTGACTTCTCCAATCATCTGGACATGGTTAAGGCTAGTCATGGACTAAATTTGCAATGTCACTGGTGTTTGACCTTTTAGGTAATGATTAGACTTAATCTAGGTCTAGGAAACCATCCCATATCTTCATAATCTTCTACGAGTGTTTTTTAAGGACTTACTAATTTGGTGTTTGATGCTAAATTGAGTTCAACGTTCAATACCAAATATTAATGAAAATATTTTTTATGATTAAGAGCAGACAGTTCTGTTGGACAGTAGTGTAGGAAAATCTCTTGCTTCAAACTGTCAGGTTGGAAGGAAGAGATAATGGGGCTGATTTCATATAGTACTTTTCAGGCCTGGCATAACCCTTATAAAATGTGTGTATTGTGTGATATTGTGAAACAGCCTTAGTAAGAAATCATTTTGCGTGTACCATCTTATAACATGCACTGCAGTTTCAAAAATACATATTTGAGATCCAGTTTACCACAGGAAGGACGTCTGTAATATTGACCAGTTTGCAAGAGATCTTGGTATAGATGACAGAGATGGGAGGGGCTGTTTTAGTTTTGAAAACTTGTTAAAACATTTAATTTAGCTGTTATTCCATTTAACCTGAACATCTGTCTTGCTGTCTTAAATGAATGTGCTGTGTCATTAGCATTATCATTAGTTTGGGAATTCACAGCCAGCAGTCAACGTTACCACATAGACTTTTTCTGTAATTTTTTACGTTTTTGATGTTCTGAGCTAGGCTGGTAAATAGTGGCTTGATTTTAGCCACACTTCTTTGAGTGCCTCCACACTGAATAAATCCCTTTTCCACAGATTATGATAGTATTTTTACTGGCACATCAATTCAGTTAATATAACCTGGGGTTATTTCTACGGCTCATTTTATAGAAGGTAAAAGGCACCACTGACATGGAAGCATGCAGTCAGCAAAAATGTCTGAAATGGCACATTTGAGCAGAACTAAAATCACTGAGAAACAGCTATAAAATTACATTAACCAACATCCTCATGTAAAGCAAATCCCGGCCAAATTGTGCTTTAGTCAGAATGCACATCACTATTAAATTATGTACATGGTATGACACAGTTTGTTTAAAGAAAAATACTGAAATTCTCCTTTAATCACTCGATGTTCATTTATGTAGTCTTCACTGAGCAGCAGGGTTGTGGAAATTCAGTATGAGTGCCAATTTATTTTATTCACTTAACTGATATTTATGCACTTAAGGCTAAACTGCCCTATGAAATGCTCTTTACTGTGAAAGTGTATATTATTACACTGAAACCGAGCCTTATTCTGAGATTTCTTCTTAGAAAAGAGTGGTAACTTTTTCCACATCCTCTTATGGCTTTTTGGAAGTGCTAAGAGGTAGAAGTGGGTTCAGCATGAGAACAGGGCGAAAAGGGTCACTTACTCATACTTTCGTCCAAGCCAGCATTGGCCTGGAAGAGTGTGTGTGTGTGTGTGTGTGTGTGTGTGTGTGTGTGTGTGTGTGTGTGTGTGTTAGTTCGTTCATTCATTCGTTATTAGAACACCCAAGGAGTTAGGGGTTTGCTTGTTAAATGTTGAACAATTTCAGCCTCAGCTAAGACCCTGTATTGTATGTTGGCTTTTGGCGAGCGTAAAACTTCAGCATTCAAGACTCTGTGTGTGTTTCACTCTCTGATTCAACCCAGATCTTTCAGTCTGCCTCTCCATCACCAGTACTTCACACCAATTCATTGCTTTCATCATTTTCAGAAAATCCCCCATATGGCCACTGATAATGTCAAATTACCCTCCACACACTTGTCACAAGTTGCTGGAAGTCATTTAGGCAACACTTGTGGTTGATTCTCTTAATGAGACAATTCATCAACTGCACATCATTGTAATGAGCAGTAGTATTTTGCAGGCATGCAGGACTAACAGTGGAGTAGATGCATTAAGGCACACTCTCTGTCCTCAGGTTCTCACCTTGTCTCATTTTCTTTCACTGAGGAGATAGAGAGGTACTGGTCTTATTATCACACACTGGGGGAGGTATTTTAAATCATAAAGAATAGCAGAGGTGAGTTCTGCCACGTGTTGGAACCCCAGCTGTGCTCTGTGCCTCTCTGTGGCTGATAACACAAGTATAGCCATTCTCAGGGAAGGAAACTATTAGGGCTTAGGCAACTTAATGTATTGATGAGTATAGATAACTGTTTCTTCATTTCTTTTTTTTTGTATACTGTTTGCGCTTTGATCTGTGTTCTCAAACTCTGAAAGTCCTGGTTTTCATTCACACATGCAGCAGTGAGTTGCCTTGTGAGCCAGAATGTCACTTGAATCTATAAAACTCAAGACTCTTTCCTCAAGTGGAAATGGAAACTGTCCTAGATATGGTCAGGTTCATAAATATTTAGACATTGTCAAAGTTATTATTTTATCTGTCTACCGCATTTGGAGATGAAATTAAGTAATGAATAGCAGGCTGAAAAGGACTAAAAAGGGCAGTCTTTCAGTTTTAATTTGGGTGTATTTACATCCTAATTGGGTGAACGCTGTAGGAATTGCAACCATTTTCATACATAGCCTCCCATTATTTTTTTTTTTGTCCAGTTATTTTTGAGGGGCTCAAAAAAATAACGTTCAGTGTGATGGTCGTTCTAAGATTTAGGAATCATCTTTGTGCTTTAATGCTTTCGGGGAAGCCCAACCCAGAGTAATAGCCGAAATATTAAGTGTGACCACATGAACTATTTGGTATATTCTTAAAAAGAAAGAATGCACTGGTGAGCTCAGAAACACCAAAAGGCCCTGAAGACCACAGAAAAAAACTGTGGTGGATGAGAGAAGAATTCTTTGGTGAAGAAAATTCCCTTTGCAACAATTGACAAGAACACCATCCAGGAGGTAGGCATGTCTGTATCAAAGTCAACAATCCAGAGAAGACCAGAGTAACTTCAGAAGGTTTACCACAAGATGTAAACTATTGGCAAGCCTTAAAATCAGGAAGACCAGGTTAGAGCCACATCTTAAGGACAGATAAAGCGTTCCACTTCATCTGTCAAGCATGGTGGAGGTGGTGTCAAGGCCTAGGCTGTAATGCTGTTTATTGATGATGTGACTGCTGACAAAAGCAGCAAGCAGCAAAATAAATTCTGAAATGTGTAGGGATATGTTAATTGCTCGGACTCGGGGGGCGTGTGCACATGTAATAAACACGGAACAGATCAATTGTGTAAAAGTGTTGCATTTGTACGCTAATAATAATAATAACTATTATTATTGTTATCATTGTTGACTCACAGCACGGCTTCAGTGAGCAAACTCGCAGTCACTGTCTGTCCTCCAAACTCTTGGCTGGTTGTTATAAAGGCATGGTAGCTGTGTCCACTGACAGTGTCCATTGCACAAAATGCTCCTCAGTTGTATTTATAGGGTGTCTCACTGGTTGTCATGCTGCTTGAAAATTGGACTCATTTCATTATGCTGGAGGAAGATAGACTGTAGTACATTCAGTAATCAAACGACTGGAGACAGCCATCACAGTGCTGCGTGAGCTGATTAAGTCCATATTTAAATGTTACATCTAATATTAAACTGCAAGTATGCATTTGAATTTGAATTCATTTTATATGTAATTTGTTTTTTCGCTTACGGTCATTCTTCAGAAATTAATTGGCTGCAAGTTTCGCCTGTAACCATGGAGTCATTAGCTAAACCACTGAAATCATGGGAGAGAGACACAGAGACAGAAAGACAATTACTGTTTAGCTTTGCTAATTCCTCCAGTTCAAAGCCTTAATTAGCTTTTACTGAAACTGCAGACTCTTCACCTCGTTGGTCCAGAACATTCTGTCTGGATGTGCAGTTGTTTTAGTGGTAACTTATCCTGGATGCGGTGCGTCTATGCATAAATCAGGAAGTCCTCTGACTTGTTAAGTTCTATTGATCTTCTTAACTCTATTTGCCATTTTCATGTTTTGATGATGAGTTTATTGTTTATGCTAGGCCTGTGCCAGTAAGTCCTTCTATTTGGGGGAAAGTAACCACAATAAACGGTTAAACTGTGCCGGGTGGAGGGGATTTTTTTTCTCCTTTTGTGGGGGGAAAAATGTGAACACAAACAAACACAGTGGTAGCTTGTGAATTTAAGCATAACCGTTGACAGATAAAAGAACAAAATAAAAGCCCATTTCAGAAAAAGTTGTGGTGTAGCATCATTTTTGATTTAATTTTACCATGCTTTTCCCCAAGATATGAAGTTTTTTTTTCTGATGTGTGAAATCTGATAATGTGATCTGAGAATGTCTTAACGCCTTTCTAGAACCATCTCATCAATGTTAGGTTAACTAGTCACTTTATTGTGATGGTCCCTTAAAGCTTATCAACAGATACTCAAATTGTTAACAACCTATCTGGTTAAATGTGTTTAGGAGGTATTAGCCTGAGAGATTTAGGTTTTGGGTTTAGGATTAAGGTTAGTGTGAGGGATACATTTAGGATTGGGAAAAAGTTGAAATGAATAGGTATTTAGTTGAAGCTACATTAGTGTTGAGGTGAACATTAACATAGATTCAAATAAAAATCCAAGTGTTAAAAATGTTTTGGAAAGCTACAGAAACTGTGCCTTCCTTTTTACTCCACTTAGCTGAAATGTAGCGAACTTTCTCTGCACTAAAATTAATTTTGTCTCTCTTTTGTTTTGCTTTTTTCCAGCTGTCCCGTTCCCCCCCAGCCACAGGCTGACCGTAAAGGAGGTTTTTGACAGTGAAGGCAAACCCAAAGTAGATGTCCTCAAGGCCCACCTCACCAAAGAGGGTCGTGTGGAGGAGAGCGTGGCCTTGCGGCTCATCAGTGAGGGAGCCGCCATCCTGCGCTCTGAGAAGAACCTGCTAGACATTGAGGCTCCAGTTACAGGTCAGTTCTCCCCATTGCCTCCCTCTAGTCCTGAGCCCGTTGACTTGCCGGTACACGTGGGCTCATGTGAGCAGCAGACGAGCCTCAAATGAGTTAGAGAGGTCGAGGTCAATGTGGCTTTGCAGTGAGAGTTAAGCAGCACCACCTGGGTCACTTTGTCTTTTCACGGCTCCATAACAGGTTCCTGCATTAAGGTTATCAACGTAAGGGAGAAGTGTTGACAGAAAGGGCAGGCTGTGAATGGGTGCTCCACTTTTTTGCAGTTTTCTCCTTTTTTCCAACCCTTCGGATTGGTTTGACAGCCGTGGTGTTGCCCTGAATTTGACCCCTTCTTTCATGGAGAATACTGTGAGTGCTTAGAGCAGACAGAAAATTCCTGGCTGAGGAGAGAAAAAAAAAGGAGAGGCTGAGTGTGGACCGGGTCTTTTGTATTTTATTGTGTCATGCACTGCTGAATACAGTCTTGGAACAGCTCTCAGAATTTAAGCCTCTCCCTGGAAACATAGGAATGAAACTTAAAGGGCTCCATGAAGTCCATTTATGATGTAAGCATGGGTTTATGTGCACAAAACAATCAAAATTCATTTTTAAATTACTATTTCCAACATCTCTTTAACCTTTACAGTTTTTTGTTACTGTGACTGATATAGGATGTATGAACTAAATAATATAAATGATTTTGGTTCTCCTTGGCTGCTCTGCATTCAGAAAAAGGAGTTCTGAAATGCTGAAACACCTTCTCACTTACTCAGAATCTTAAATCCACTCATTTTTCAAATGCATAATTCAATCATTAAACTGTAAACAAATCAGAACAAATAAGAATTTAAAGGGTAATTCCTATTATGTTTAGAAATTGCTGCAAAAATAAAATAAGATTTAAACAAGTCATTCAGAGTAGTTTGTTGTGAAATGCATCGTTCTAGAGAAACTCACCAAATAAAAATTGTTCACTTTGGCGGTGATAGGAGCCAGATGTCTGAAGAGTTTAATGTCTCTAAAATTCCGCCATAGAAAATGATTACGTGAAATGTTTATGAATGCATTGCCTGATGTCTGGTTGTTTTGGATAAAATCGCCAACAGTATAAAGAAATTTGAGCTGTTAAGCTTTTCTTTGTGAACCATTTCACATTGAACCACTCTGAATGACTTTGTTTACGTATCAATAATTGATTTATGTAGATATTTGGAAAAATTGGTGACATTCCCCTTTAACTCATGCTGAAAAATAATTTGATGGGCTAAACTGTTGTATGCTGAATAGACAGATATTTTTAGATTCATTGGTTTTGGGACATTGTGATAACAGTTAACTCAGAACGGCATCTTTTGCATATGGTGATGTATGTGTTAACAGTGTTTACATATAGCATCAAGTTCTTTTTATTTCAAAAAAGTGAGGAAATTTTGGTGATCAGTGATATGGACCCTTTAATACTTTTTTCATGTTCTGTTTTATAAAGGCTTTTTATAACACAAGCTAGCAAAGAGCGTTCCTCCCTCCCTCTCTTGCTCGGTCTTTGCTGTTACGCAACTTCATTAGACTTTGTGATGAGTCTCTTTGATGACTCCATTAACACGGTGCAGGAGGACGACCCCTCCACAACAATGGTGACAATTATATTCATAAACCTGCATGTCTGGCAACAGCAACAGCTTCCAGATGCATTAAGATGATTTGATTGTTATTATTTTTGGGTGTGTGCTATATATGCCGCCTGTAACAAACATCCCGCTCGCTTCTCATTACGTTGTTTCTCGGGGTTTGAGTTTTAATCTACAGCTTTAGCCTGGTTTATTCTGCTCTGTGATCAGCTCTGCAGCTTTTCACAGGCGTTTTATTATAGCCATCATTAGATACGAATTTGCGCACAGCTAGGTTTGAGTCTTGGGCTTAGTCAGCTGTTATAAATCAGCTTTTTCTTTATTCTCTCACTTTTCCTTTGTGTTTTCTCTGTTGAAATCACTAGTCCACTGTCTGATAGTCCCTCCCACTCCCCTTTCTCACATGCAAGAGACAATTAAACTCCACTTCATGTTGTTTAGACTGTCAAAGAAAGCTACATGGGATTTTGTACATAAATGCTTGGGATTTTGTACATAAATGCTTATTTAAGTGTTTTGGGTATGTCCCTTAAGATGTACTTGTTGTTATTTAGACTCCAGTAAAGACATTTGTCCAAGGGGGTCTCTGTCTGGTGCCTGTGTTGAGGAAAGCCTTTGTATGTTTATGAAGTGAAAAAGCACAGCTCTGTGCTTAACCTCAAAGCTTTGTAGTTCAGGGTTATGATGTGTCATAAAAAGTATGTTAGAAGAAAGAAGAAACCTTATACAGCAGTCCAAAACAAACCTCCCTGGCCTCGGAAGTGGAGCTTGTGTCGGTGCTGTGGAACAGCATGTAAAGTAAAATGCTGCGAGTGTTTTTGTGTGTTGGAAGTTTATTTTGTGCCAGTCCCTTAAAGAGGAACACGAATAATGCTGGTTTCCTTCAAGAGAATGTCAGGTGTGTGTGCATGCGTGCGTGTTGGGGTGGGGGGTGTGTTTGTTTTCTTACATTTTCAGGACAAAAATATTCTGACTTTGTATGTAACCCCTGTTTTACTCTGGTTTTCCTACAATGTCAGGACCAAGAGAATGGTTCTGATTTCTTAAAGCTTTGGATTCATTTGCCTTATTAACAGTTTTGGTTATTTTTAGTAAGGTAATACAATATGAATTTAAATATTACAAACTGTTCACCAAATGTTAAAAAAAGAACTATTATGTATTTAGAAGAATTATGTGTTATGTGAACAAGAAGTGCATAAAATAGTAAATGAAGTACTGTAATTTTCTATTTTCATTATTCTATACATTCTATATCCATTGATCATTCTGCACAAAAGGGTTTTTTGTGTAAAAAAAGGTATATATTTATATGTGTATGTATATATATGCCTGAATAGGTTATGGCACATTTTATATGTTATTTTTTTCCCAATATGTTACTAAACAAATAGAAATGTTCACAAAAATGGCATATTTAGTTTAGGCATATGGCATATATAGGTTGTTCTTTGTAGAAGATTTGTTAACTTATTTTTACTAATTTCAACAAAACATGTCATTTAATTGGGGGTGTTCAAACCTTTGCGTATAAGAGATCCGGTTTTGGCCACCAGATTTTTTTAAAACAATTAAATAGGATTTTAGTGTCAAATGAAACATCAAAATCTAAGACTTTATAAATAATTTTAATGACCATGAGAAATAGTGATTTAGAAACACTGTTTGTTCTGTTCTTAGACACATTCAAGCAGTTTGAACAGAAGCAAATGCACATTGGATCAACTGACTTTGTGGACCCTTTTCATAATACTACAGGTTTGATACAACTTGAAAACAAAACAGCAGAGGCAGAAAGAGATGTCTGAGTTTCAGTTTCAGTTTTGGCCAAGTATTTTCCTTTCAGGCCATCACTTATATACACTGACTGAGCACTTATTTTGGTACACCTCCTTGTATCTATACTCATTGTCCATTTATCACCTCCATTTAACACATAGGTGCCCTTTAGTTCTATAATTACAGACTGTAGTCCTTCTGTTTCTTTGCATAATTTGTGATCTCACCTTTACTCTTTTCATCAATGGTCGGGACCCCCACAGGACCACCTCTGATTAGGTATTATTTGGGTGTTGGGTCATTCTGAGCACTGCAGTGGCACTAACATAGCACGTGGTGTGTTAGTGCGTGTTGTGCTGGTATGAGTGGATCTGATACAGCAGTGCTGCTGGAGTTTTTAAACACTGTCTCCACTCACTGTCCACTCTATTAGACACACTGATCTTGTTGGTCCACCTTGTTGGTCGTGTAGCTCATCTGTTGCTGCACAGTGCGAGTTGGTCATTCTCTAGTCCTTCATCAGTGATCAGTTTCTGCCCACAGGATGGTGTTGGCTGGATAGTTTTGGTTGGTGGACTATTCTCAGTGATATATAGGACAAAAGTGTTACTCCATGTCCTCACACGGTCTAAAAACAAACCTGAGTGTCTGTGGCTCTATGTTCTTGGCTTGCGGTGCTGATGGGTGTTTAGTTGTGTGTTCATGTGTATCAGCAGCAGAGTTTGTCCTCACATGTTACATTAAATATGCATGGATGATAATGGACTTGGAGAATGTGCATTTAGAGTAGTACTCATTTCTAATGAGGATGGTTTAAGAGCATGCGTGCGTGCGCGCGCGTGTGTGAGAGAGAGAGAGAGAGAGAGAGAAAGAGAGAGATTGTACCAGCTTTAACAGGCATTAACAATTCTGCACTTATCTAACACTGCCAAACTGACAAAAACTAAATATTCACATGTTGAATCATTACTGAAAAATAATGTAGAATATGCTTTAAAATGTCATCTCACTTGTACTAGATATTCATGGTAAGTAATGAATTGGTTCTGTTGTGATGGGAGCTGAGACAGCAACAGTGGGGCAAATATGTGTTACTACACCATTATGTATCTCAGAGCAGTAGTGACCCTGTAGCCTTTTTACACAAAGACAATTAGGATTAAATCATTTTTTGTAACAATTTCAGAGACTGATACAAATGAGAATGTCTTCAGGTTATGCTAATAATATGCACATTTTTCATTTCTTTTCTGCTCGTATTGGTCACTGTTACAGAAGTGTTTTTGGCGAATGCCGCAGCTTGTCTAATGTTCTCTGCAGGAGTGTAACGTCTGTCGCGTGTTGAGCGGCCCCTCAGAGTGAGTTTAGTCTGAGCAAGGAGTGTTTACGATGTGTGTTTGTGCGTTGTTTTTGTGTTTGTTAAGTCTGGTCTGGTTTATTTGCTCACCACAGTGTTGGCCTGAGGGTCTGCTGAGGCCAGAGAGGACACACACACACACACACACACACACACACACACACACACACACACTTGTACATCAGGGGTTTGAAAGGCAGAATAACAGAACCATTCATCACTCTCACACAGATACACCCCAACCTGTTAACACACAC